GAACTTCAAAGAGGTACCTAATCTGAAACACCCAGGCCATCATTATTTATGCATTAAGAAACTGAAGCCCGTCGTCGGCGCGTGGCTCCATGCCTTGTAAATCCCAGCACTTTGGGAAGACTGGAGGCAGGCAGATCGACCATGAGGTCAGGGAGTTTGAGACCAACCTGGCTAGCATGCGTGAAACCTTGTCTCATATTAACAAATACAAAATTAGCATGGGAGTGTGGGCAGGGACCTGTAATCCCCCAGCCTATCTGGGGAACGCTGAGGCAAGAGAATCGCTTGAACCGCAGAAGGCGGAAGCTTGCAGTGAGCCCCAGATGGCACCATTGCCACTCTAAGCCTGGGCCAAGAAAGAAAGAAAGAAAAACTAACTGGAGCCTAGATAGATGAAACCACTTGCCCAGGGTCACAGAGCTAACACGTCAGATAAGAGATTCTTTATGTTTTATAAATATAAATTTAAATATAGTTTATATTTTCAAGAATATTGTTAGTTATCATTTTCAAACTAAAAGTTTAAAAGAGCATAACACCTTATATTCCTCCATAAATCTATTTTATTATGGATTATAAAATATGATGATCTTACATGTCCTGACTGTATTCAGAAAGTTTTTTGAATATCCTACATTGCTTATTAATTTCATATTTCAATCTCTCAATAAAATATATAGCCCATAATATTTGCTGCATTTTAATATGACAAATAAAGATTTAAAATCTCTGCTATTCATTATGAAGTTTTATATTGCATAAATGTGTATTTTCATATTTTTCACAAATATAAGGCACCATTGACAATTCTCCATTATACTTCCTTCAACATATATAATATATAAGGGGAATCTAGTATAGACTTTTCAAACATAAACAAAATGAACAACAAATCCTAAGTGTGACTTGAGCCCTGATTCTGTTACTATTACTGCCCAATCTGGGAGACTGCATCGTCTCTGTGTTAATATGAATCTAAACAGGACTTCTGTCAACTTTACTATATCAAATCTAAAATATTCCTTCTCTTCAAAAGGAAGCAAGATTTCATTTTATTTTTTGAGACAAGGTCTTGCTCTGTCACCCAGGCTGGAGTGTGGTGACATGAACACTTGCTCACTGAAGCCTCGACCTCCTGGGCTCCAACAATTCTCCCACTTCAGCCTGCCAAGCAGCTGGGACCACAGGCACATGCCACCACACCCAGCTATTTTTTTTTTTAATTTGTTGTAGAGATGGGATTTTACCATGTTGCCCAGGCTTGTCTCAGACTCCTGGGGTCAAGCAATACTCCTGTCTTGGCTTCCCAAAGTGCTGGGATTACAGACATGAGCCACTTTACCCAGCTGGAAGCAGGATTTTAGAAATAAGAATGCCACACCTATATGACCCATCCAATCAGTGATTTCATGATGTCTTTATAGAGAGTAACATCTTGGTCCCCAAAACAATACCAACACTAAATAGACAAGTTTTAGAAGAAAAAAAAAAAACACATTAAAATGCTTCAAAATATTATTCTTGAATTATTTAGGAACTTCTACTTATTATGCAAGCATTTTCATTACCAAATATATTCCAATCAAATGAACATGTTCTTACACATACTATATTCATAGAGACATCTTTATTTTATATAGTCATTTATCAAAATAGCAAACATTTTCTCTTGTGTACACTCACCTGTTCAGAAAAGAGGTCACTGTTATCTTCCAAATATTTACTGAAAGGGTTGGGTTCGTAGACTTCCTCCTCTTGTTTCAGTAATATTCTGGATTTTACAGGTACTGGGCGAATTACTCCAGGCTTAGTCTTCATGAATGTCAAATAAATATTTAAAAAACAGGAAAAAAGACTATTAAAATGAACAAAGATGTGTATTGTTAAGTCATTCAATGCTGTTCTCACAGAAAATTTTTTTTTAATTTGAAAATGATTTCACAAATGCATAAAAACAGCCTGAAGTCAAATGATTTTAACTAATATAAGTTTAGTTAAAACTTAACTATAACAGCAATCAGTTCATGAAGATCTACTCTTGTAACATTCGAAATGCAAACATGTTCTACCCTTGCTGGTGCATTTGGTCAACAAATACTTCATATGCTCAATATTTATTGAGAGTCTTCTCGGTGTCAGGCAGCATTCTGAGCATGATAGCACAGATGACTTTGGTATATCCACCAAGCCCATGACGACTTTCTTTTTCTGGAAACTGCTCACCCTCCATGCCCCAAAATCTACAAAGCTGGGCCCCCACATGCCATGTTCATATTATAAACTGGGCTGGCTTTCTGACCTAAAAGAGTGGAGAATGGGTGGCAAAGAGATTGTCTCTCCCAATAACGTGGAACAGGGATTGAAACTGCTCTGCAGTAACTGTGGGAGACCGAAATTAAAGCATGTCATGTAGAAGCTACAGGAAAGCCTTAACACGACCTAAAAGGCAGATATGTTGAGATCAAGAAGGATAGAGCAAAGTGCATGGAGGTATAGCCCAGAAAGGAGAGACACCAGAGGGCTTTCCAGAATTTACTTCCCAAACATTCCAGGGGTCTACATGAATTTCCTGTCCTGAGGTTCTTTCCTTTTCTTTTACACTAGATTCCCTCCACACACACCTTTTTATCTAACTCAACTTTACTTCTGTAACTTGCAATCAAAAGAATTTTAGCTAATACATCAGTCACTCGAGATTCTTAAGCTTGTACCCAGTGTCGATTTGACAAAGAGAGACTGGGGAGAACTCTAGTTTGGGGTAATTTCAAAATGATGTTTCACAAACACCAAAATCTTGTTATCCCGTAAAATGTCACAGAAAGATTGATGTTTGCAAAATCATCCCAAACAATAATTTAATAAAATGCTGTGATGCTCTTTCTGTTTAAGCACTTTGCTGCAATCATTCTTCTCAACCCCATTTCCTTTTGGAAAATGGTAAATTAGCTCTTTTCAGTCAATTCTGATGCTCACAAGTTAAGCCTTAAGGGACTACATCTATCTCTCTGCTCTATAAAGCACCTGATATATTTTGAGTCTTGAATAAATGTCGCTCTGAAATACTTTATTCGACAGACATTTGGTCTTTCATGTATTATGACAACTGGGGAAATATAGATTGAGACAAGTCTCCATCTTCCCCAGACTGAGAAATATCTCCCACTTAAGAAACTCTGATTTTTCTCAAGGGGAAGAATGAACAAGTAACATCCAATTGTGCATGAAGTCATGCCATAGAGTATACACATGAGAGCAATATTCCTTCATTAAGTGCTGCAAAAAAAAAAAAAAAAGTCCAGGCAGTTCCCTATTTCTATAGCCACCTGTAATTACAGAGATGCCTGATACCTGGGCCATGATTCAAAGTTTTCCACACCTCTGTCTCTTTTTTTTTATTTGACTTCCGCTTTATTTCTTCTTTCTTCTTCTCCTATTCCTGCACTTTCTCCTTCTCTTCTACTCCCTTGAGAGGCAGAAAATAAATGCAACTCCAGGACTCAGGGGCTACAAGGCTCTAAAACTAACATTGTACTTTAGGGGTTAAGCTTGGTGTCACTATGCAGAAAGATGAAAGCAGGGAGAAGAAATCTAACCAGGAGCACTTTGGATGGTAGGATAATCTCTGCCAGAGAAACATGACTGCTTGGGTCCCTTTATTGCAAGCAGGCAGATGTTTGGGGATATCCTGGCCTAGAGCCTTCCACTCAGATCATCTGTCTTGGGATCAGTCCTTTCCAGGGTGACATCAGAAGACAGACTCTTCTGGTTGGTTGGATATCAGATATATTCAGTATCAGAGTCTGTTACTGATGCTTCATATTTTCTTCTCCACCAGTTTTTAAGCTCTTTAGTTCTTATGAGTTTCCTGGATTTGATGGTTGTCTCTGACAATTAGACAATAATTTTTCCTCCGTTTCCTCCACTTTGCCAGATTTTCCACATGTTCTTTTCTTGGACCCTGTGTTCCCAGGTTTGGACTATATGAAGACTCTGAGTTTTCCTCATTCTATTTACTTACTTGGTCTTCATATGGTTTCCCTGATTTTTACATTGTATATATTCCCTTTTTCTTTAGTCCTGTTCTTTGCTGCTACAACCTTAATTTGTTGTTACCCAGTAGTCAATACTTCATAGATATGGAAGCCAACTCTAGGCAAAAGATGACTACACATAGTTTGCCTTTGACATTGTTCATACTTCTCATCCTATAATCTTTAATCACACCTTTCAAACCCAGCCATCTCTCAGTGATGGTCCAGTTAAAAATCTAATGCTAGTGTCCCAATTCTGAACCTCATGCACTCTCCACAGACCTTGGTATACTAACAGGTCATCAGCATGGTAGCCTCTGCACCTTCTTCATGCTTTTTCATGTGCTTCAAAACCAGCTTCAAAGTCCTTGAGGACCTACTGCAGCTAATGACACTATCATTGTCTCATAGACACAGGTTTTATATTCTATCAATATAGAATCAAAAACTGAACTCAATATTTTAGATAGATCATCTCATCAATTTCTTATAAATTCTGTGGGAGATTTAAAAGTAATAAGTCAGATGCCAAAGTCATGCAGTTAACATGCGAAGTTAAGGTTTAAATCCATATTTGGTCTGATCATCATGCCTGTGATTTTTATCACTTCTGTGCCTATTCCAGGGAGGAAGAGTGACATCATAGAATAGATAGAAGCTTGAAATCATTGTTAAATATCCACCTCTCTGTAACTTATCCTGTCTAATCAACAACAAAGCTCCTGTAATTTTTATATTTTTTATGCCTTTAAAATATATTGTTTCTCTATTTTATTTCCACGGTCAACTGTCTCATCCTTGATTTTGGCCATTGTTAACTCATTCTGTGCCATTCTACTTTCTTTTCGTTAGCCATCCTAAATACTCTCAGAACATTTGGGACCTAATGTTTTCTAATGTTTTCAGTTCCTGGTGACTATACACATCCACACATCCACTCTCTTCACACACACACACACAAACATACACACAGACACACACACCTCTTCACCACCTCCTAAAATACTCCATAATTTGCATGGCCAAGACATCAAATTTTCACTGTGTCTCTGGATTTGGTTAAAAATTTACTCTCATGAAGTAGCATAATACTGTAGAAGGAAAGCAACATGGACAAAGATTTTAGTTTCTGCAATGTTGTTAATAAACTGTATTACTTTGGAAAAGCCATTCAACCTGTATAGAACTTCTGTTGAAGGGTTGTAATTCTAATACACGACTATGTCCTTTAATAATGGGTAATGACACATTTTATTACTTACCTTTCTGACCCCTCAGGAATTATACCACACAGAGTTACAGCAAAAGGCTTATTTCTGCATATTCAAATCCATCATCCAAACAAGGGTCTCAAAGTGCCACTTAGAAAGGCTATAAAACAGCATATGTGAAGCAACTGGCACTGTTGTCATCACACATAAGTTTCTGTTGGAATATTAGTTAACTTCCCCTCGATTATTCCTCATACCTTGCTTCAAAATGTCAAATGGTGATGCAATCTACATTTGCAACAAAAAGTTAACTAATGTTCTATCCAATTAAGACATTGTCTGCTAGCACTTTGACCCTTAGAATGAAGGCTGTAGACCAGTATCAGCATCATCTGAGAACCTGTTATGAGTGCCAAAGCTCAGTGCCCGACCTAAACCTACTGAATCTGAATCTGCATTTTTACAAATCCCTAAGCAATTCATGTACACATTAAAAGTTGAAAGACACTAGATTTGAACTCAATACATTAAAATGTGCAACTCACGTAGAGATAGATCTTTCTTAGTCTATCATTCCAGAGACATCCATTTGGCCTTGTCTTCGGTCTCCAGACTGAAGGAGAGGCTTTAAAACAGACTATGCTTTATTAATTCCTAATCTATATTGCATCTTTGCATGTAGTGATCTTTGCTGGTACCTTTGGACTTCAAGTAAAGGTTCTCCTGAACAACTTCTCTAATTCCGAACAATCTAATTTGTTACATCTGTGTCCAAACAAACACAGAGGAAATTAGATTTATCAAGTTTGGGGAGTCTATAAAACTGAACTACTGTGAGATTGTCATTGTGCAGCAATATTACAACTAAACTAGCCTTAAGAGGCCCTTCTTTCATTTTTATCTACTATAGAATCCATAGAATAGTCAGACTCATGACTGATAGATGCAAATGACCCTCTAATGATGCCAGAAAAAGCAGTTTTGTAATTTTCTTTCCAGCCTATGTGGAAAAATAAAAAAGGTAATGACTCTCATAGCCAGCACAAAGGGCACAAGAAGAAAAACGAGAAGATTCTCCAAATCGAAAATATCAATTCATGAATATACTGAAAATTGATTTACACTGGGTATAGACATTTTCGAAGTGCCTGAAAGACAAAATAACTGTTCTGCAACTCTGAAGCACACCTCTACCAGATGTTCACTGGAGACATTTTTCCAATTAAGATCTAGTCTATGTCAAGAACTATAGTGTCTATAGAGATAAATAAGATATATCTCCTGTTTTCAGAGGCTCACAATCCAGTTGAGTAAATCACAAGATAACCACAGTGTAAGTTGAGTCATGTCACTCATCTCCTAAATGATGTCCGTCAATTCTACATCAAGTCATGTCAACTCTGCTCTGAAATCTCTCTAATGCCTCACCTTTTTACTGAGAGTAAAGTTCAAAGCCCTGTAGTGCCTACAAAGCAATACTTATAAGGGTACTGTATGACCTGATCTTTCATATCCCTAACCAGCCTCTCTTTTTCCAGTCTTATTTCCCAGTACTGTCCCTTCCACCTGA